GTGCATATATCTGTTCCTATCCTGGCTCTCACCTCTCTAGGATATATACCTAGTAATGGGTTTGCTGGATCAAATGGTATCTCCAATTTCAGCTTTCTAAGGAATCACCATACTGCTTTCCACAGCGGTTGTATCACTCCACAGTCCCACCAGCAGCATACGAGAGTCCCAATCTCTCCATATCCCTGCCAGCTTTTGTTATTTTCTGTCTTGTTGAACCTTTCCATCAGTGCTGGGGTGAGATGGTATCTCATTGTTGTTTTGATTTTTATCTCTCTAATGGTCAATGACTGTGAGTATCTCTTCATGTATTTGCTGGCTGCCTGAATATCCTCCTTGGTGAAGTGTCTATTCATGTCTTCTGCCCATTTGTCAATTGGATTGTTAATCCCTTTGCTGTTGAGGCTTTGGAGTTTTCTATAAATCTTAGAGATAAGTCCCTTGCCAGATATGTAATTATCAAAAAGTATGAATTTGTTGCTGTCATTTTTTTATGTGCTTTTTCATGGTGTTGATTTCTTTGTTCCCTTTAATTTTCTCTGCTGAGCTCAGAAAATTTTTTATTTATGAATTATGTTATTACTTCCTTTGTTGCTATTGTTTTAGTATTTGTGCTAAATATCTGTGCTGGTCCTCTTTTTCATTTTGATGTGAAGGTTTATCATTTTTCTTTGAGATTACCTGTGATTTATAGTTTTCTTCCCAAGTTTAGAACAGTCTGTTCTATCTTGTAGTTGTCTTGACTTCCCTACAATTTAGAAGTTCAGTTTTTTTTTTTTCTCCCTCTGTTTGGTTTGTAGTTGTCTTTGTTTGTCAATTGATATCTTTGGTTCCCTGTTTTCAATCTTATAGGCATCTTTACTTTGTATACTTCTATAACTGGGTTGGTTTCTGGGTTATGTCATTATGTGTGTTAATGGTCAGTTATTGTTTCCTGTTGTTGGTTCTCTGTCCAAAGTACTCCTTTTAGCATCCCTTGTAAGGTTGGTTGGGTTTAAACAAATTCCTTTAATTTCAGCTTATCTGGAAATGTCCTAATTTCACCATCATATTTGAAGGACAATTTTGCTGGGTGTGTAATTCTTGGTTGGAAATTTTCTCTTTCAGGGCTTTATATATACCATCCCATTGTCTTCTTGCCTGCATGGTTTCTGCTAAGAAATCTGAGCTTAGTCTTATTGATTGCTCCTTATAGGTACCTTTCTATTTTTCCCATGCTGCTGTCAGGATTCTTTCTTTGTCTTTGGTTTTGGTGAGTTTGATGATGATATGTCTTGGTGATTTTCTTTTGGGGTCTATCATGTTTGGGCTTCGTTAGGCTTCTTGAATGAATATCTTCTCATCTTTCACCATACCAGGAAAATTCTCTTCCAACAAATCTTTGACAATTTTGTCTGTGGTTTTATTTGTCTCTTCCTGTTCTGGAATTCCGATGACATGTAAGTTATTCCTTTTGATGGTATCCCACATGAACCTTAGGCTTTCTTCATTTTGTTCTGATCTTTTTTCTGATTGATCCCTTTCCAAAGAAGTATTGAGGTATTTGTCTTCAATCTCACTATTGTGTCTTCCATTGATTCAATTCTACTCCTTTGCCTGTTCAATGTGTTATCTATTTCTGAAAATTTAGTATTAATCTTCTGGATTTCTGTCTGTAGATTTTGTATCATTTCTAATTTTCCATTTATTTTGTCATTTTGTTCTTGTATTATCTTTTGGAATTGTTCTAGGATTTTCTATGTGTTTTCCTCAATTTTGTTGGTGTTTTCCATGATCTGTCTCTCAGTTCATTGAAGGTACCTAAATATAATTCTTTTGAATTCCTTATCAGGGAGTTCCAATACTGTATCTTCCTCAGGGATGTATTTTGGGTCTGCATCCTGGTCACTTGCTTCTTCTGCTTTATTTTGGTTCTTTGTGTGGACTGCGATGCTCTGTTGTCTCTGAAGCATTGTGACAGTTTTGTGTTTATATTTAATTGGTAATTATATATTGTAGTGACTTGCCCATGATTTTTGTTTTCTTTGTATGTTATCTACGTAAGCAGGGTACTGTTCTGTGCTCCTCTATTCACTAGTTGACAGTACTTATACACTCACCACCTGTCTCCTTTCCCATTATCAGACTCCCATATGTCCCTGTTGTCCTTGGCAAATGGAACCTATTTTTAGGTCACTAGAATCTTAATGAGAACACTGTCACTTTAAAATCCAAAATGGCCACTGCTTGTAAAGTTTCAAAATGGCTGTGCCCTCAGTCGCTTTATTTTTTATTTTTTAAAAATTACGTGTATGTTTAGATTCACTCCCCATTTACCATCCCCAACCCTAACCTAGTGTCCTGCCCTCCCTGCCCAGTAACCCTTCCCGCCATGTGCCTCATAGTTATGCACTCCTGTGTGTTCTGCATTTCCTCCATGTGAATGTTGCCCCTCTGGTGCCCCGTGGTTGATTGCTCTAAGGGATGCATTCCCACAAAGTATGTGGGTGCGTCACCCTGGGTTGAGTGGTCGGCATGTGCATTTTGTTTACTGTTGGGCTGAGAGCCAGCCCCTGGGAGAGTGCTTTATTCCAGGCCCAGAATGTATCCCAGGGCCATAGTGTTGGGGGGGTCTCACCAGACTCCATGTGACCAGTAAATCTGGTCATTATTGACTTTTTGGATTTGTTCCATGTTTTTCCTCCCACTCTATCCATGATCTCTAGATTTCATCCTTTCCTGAGTAGTTGGCATTGGTAGCTGGGCACCATCTAGTTCTTCTTGTCTCAAGGGCCATCATGTCCTTGGGCTGATGGCTTCCAAATGTCCTTGTTTTTTTTTTTTTTTTTTTTTGCATTCTTCTTTGCTTCTAATGACAGGAGACCATTAGTTGCTTCTTAGATAGCTGCGAAAGCTTTTAAGACCCCAGTCACTACTCACCAACGTAGGGTGAGGAACAAGGCCTTTATGTATTTTGTTGTGCAAATTGAGTCTGGTGTCCCCCAATACTATGATCCTGAGTCAGTAGATTCATTGGATCTCTCTCCCACAGTGTCTGGCTGTCTGTGAGGGATTACTCTGTGCCTGTCTTCTGTTGTTTCTGTAAGGATTATGGTTATTTTGTGTTACTGGTATCTGTGCAAGTTTAGCTTCTGCTGAATCTGTCCTTGGTGTAGGGTATACTTCTGTTCACTGACCCCATCTGATCTTCTCAGATGTTTATGCATTTATCTATAGCCTGGTGTTTGGTGTTAATGGTAATGCAGTATTGTGGATATACTGGTTGGTATTAGCATCTGTCATCTATATATTATGTATAGAATTTGGTGTCCTCCCTTTTCCTAATGTTATCATGGTGGTCCTGGCCTCTTTCGATATCATTCCTCCCCATACCCACAACAGTGTGTGACCCTCAACTAGCCTGAAATTAATCCCTCCCATTTCTTCCCCACCCCAGTAATCTACAAATGAGTTCCCTTTCTCACTTTAAGTATCCCATCTGTCATTTTAAATATCCCAAATGGCTTCTACTTGTAAACATTCAAAATGGCTGAACCCTCTGTCACTTTAAATATCCAAAATGGTTGCTGCTTGTAAACATTCAAAATTGCTGCTCCCTCCAGACAGCTGAAAGTCCACAGCTCAGGTTGTCTCCCTCATTGCTGTTTCTGTTGCTTGTCATCGGCTATCAGTGCAGTTGTCCCTGCAGTCCTTGCCAACCAGGGCTGATCTTTAGGTCAATTCCCAACACCACTTCAAAATATTCAGGCTTTTGGTTCCATCAGAGTAGCTGAGGGTCCACTGCTCCAACCATGTCTGTACTCACTGTTTTCGTTTAGGTTTTTTCCACTAGTTGGTGTCCAATCCACTTTTGTATACTTCCTTTCAAAGTTCTACAATTGTCTTTTGTATCACTGTCAATTGATTTCTCTTTTCTTTGTTGTAGAGGGTCTGTGTAGCTTGTCTGCCTATTCCTCCATCTTACTAGATGTCCTGAAATGGCAAGTTTTCAATAACCAATTTTCAAGTAAATTAAGACTCTTTTGCTTTTAACAGGTGAGGAATGTTTATAAGCCTTGTTGTTGTTATTAGGTGCCATCAAGTCTATTCTTTTTCATAGTGACCCCATGTACAACAGAATGAGCACTGTTGGGCCCTGCACCATTTTCACAATCATTGCTATGTTTAAGACCATCAGTGCAGCCAGAATGCCAATTCATTTTGTGCAGAGTCTTTCCCTTTTTCACTGGCCTTTCACCAAACATGACATCCTTGTCCAAGGTCTAGTCCCTCCTACAAGACCAAACTAGAAGAAACAAAGTCTGGTCAGTTTTGCTTCTAAGGCACTTTCTGGCTTTGTTTCTTCCAAGATAGATTTGTTCATTCTTTTGTCAATCCATTGTACATTCAGTATTCTTTGCCAACACCACAATGAAATCCATCAATTCTTCCTTGGTCTTCCTTATTCATTGTCCATCTTTCACATGCATATGAGACTATTGAAAATATCATGGCTTGCGTCAGGCACACCTTAGTCTTCAAAGTGACATTTTTGCTCTTTAACACTTTAAAGAGGCCTTCTGCAGCAGATTTTCCCTGTGAAATATGTTGTTTGACTTCTTGACTATTGCTTCCATGGGCATTGATCGTGGATCCAAGTAAAATGAATCACTGACAACTTCAATCTTTTCCCCATTTATCATGACACTGAGGATCTTAGAAACTGTGAAATTCAATACCTGTATTAGGTGAGGACTCTTATCTCTGCTGTTCTCTTTTCTTTTGCTTCAATCATCTCTTTTTCTTCCACAAGGTAGGACAAATGGGAAGGCTAGAGAGATTGACTCTTCTCAATTTTACTTCTAAAATTCTTTAAAAATGGGCTCTAATTTGACCAGTTGGGTGAGATGTCCCCCACTGAAGCAAACAACTTTAATTAGGGGGTGGCATCTGGAGAAAAGACTATAATCGACCCAGGTGATGTTCTGTGTCCAAATTGAACCAACTCATTGTGGCTAGGGATGGGTATTGAGGCAGGAGTACCTTGTACAAAATAGTCGACCAACAAAAGGAAATATCATAAATCTCATAAATGGAAAATAATTGATTAATATCTTATAAATGTAGCTTAAAAAATGTTGACATGTCTTTTTGCCCCTAATGAAGGCATAATTTGTGATTTGCAGCATTTTTTTTTTTTTTTGGTATTATTTTAGTTATGGTTAACTCATTTTCTATCTTGCTGAATATGTTAGAGAAACAATTGCTCTTCCTCTGAGTACATAAAAGTGACTTACTTTACTCTTTTCTGAATATTTTGTAGATTCAAGGATTAGTTCATTTGTGGATGGAAAGCAGATAGTGGAGAACATTTCAACACCTCCCACAGAAGGTAACCTACTTCTTTCTCGAGAGGCCACAGTGTGGGTATGGAGTGTTGAACTTCTGTGGAAACATTAATTGATGGCCTGGGGTGGTTACAAGCCTTGTGCCTAACTGAAGAATACAATATGTGTCTAGTGGTATAAGGGACCCAAAGGATCCAACCACTTATTGTTCTCTAAGCAAGCCACGTTTTTACTTGCCTCTAAGCCTCTGTCAAGTTGGAAGTTCTTTCTGTAAGGGGATGTGCTTGAGGTGGTGGGAACTGCATGAATTCACCTCCTCTCAAATCTGAGTTAAAATCCTCCCTTTTCCTTTATCTAGTGATATTATCTTTTTTGGCAGTGAAATTTGAGGTCTTGTGTGCTAGAGAAGAGGCAGATAACACCAAAATTGGAGAAGGAAGATAAGAAATGTAGAGTTTAGTAACAACAAGCTTCATCCACATAAAAAGTTTACCTTGCCACACATAGCTGGTTCTACTCAGGTTAAAAGGATGTAATCATTGAGACCTCTGTTGCAAATGAGTTGTAATGGATACTTGGTGAGCTAACTACTTCTCAGTAAATGTTTATCAGTCAAGAAACACATTATGTCAGTTGATCGGACAGTGTGAGGTTCTATGCTGGCAGATGCTTACAGGTTTCAGGGTTTAATTTTTTACCTTAAAAGGTGGACAAAATTGGTCAACTTCTATATTTAATTCTGATAATTAGAATTGACACAAGAAAACAAAATCTGTGAGTCAAGTTCACAGTTGAACTATTTCAGAATTTAAGTGACTGAATAGGAAGAAAGGGAAACTCACCCAGAGTCCCTACTTGATAATATCCCACATACACAATAAAATCCATTTTACAGAAAGTTTCTCAAATAAAACAATTCTCACTTTTCTTTGTTTGTATTTATAGTCTATACTAAAAATAAATATTGAATGATGCAGGAAACATCAAGAGAAGATGGCAGGAATACACAGAGTCACTGTACCAAAAAGAACTGATCGATCTTCATCCATTTCAAGAAGTGGCATATGATCTAGAACCAATGGTAATGAAGGAAGAAGTCAAAGCTGCAATGAAAGAACTGGTGAAGAACAAGGCTCCGGGAATTGATGGCATACCGATTGAGATATTTCAACAAACAGATGCCCCATTGGAGGCACTCACTTAGTTATGCCAAGAGATTTGGAGGACAGCTACCTGGCCAACTGACTGGAAGAGATCCATATTTGTGCCCATTCCAAAGAAAGGTGATCCCACAGAATGTAGAAATTATAGAACAATATCATTAATATCACATGCAAGTAAGATCTTACTGAAGATAATTCAGAAACGTTTGCAGCAGTATATTGATAGAGAACTTCCAGAGGTTCAAACTGGATTCAGAAGAGGACGTGGAACAAGGGATATCATAGCTGTTGTCAGATGGATCTTGGCTCAAGGCAGGGAATACCAGAAAGATGTTTACTTGTGTTTTATTGACTATGCAAAGGCATTTGGTTGTGTGGATCATGACAAATTATGGATAACATTGAGAAGAATGGGAATTCCCGAGCACTTGATTGTACTCATGAGGAATCTGTACCTTGACCAGGAGGCTGTCATTCGAACAGAACAAGGGGACACTACATGGTTTAAAATCAAGAAGGGAGTGCATCAGGGTTGTATTCTTTCTCCACACTTATTCAATCTATATGCTGAGAAAATAATCCGAGAAGCTGGACTATATGAAGAAAAACATGGTATGAGGATTGGAGGAAGAATCATTAACAACCTGAGATATGCAGACGATACTACTTTGCTTGCTGAAAGTGAGGATGACTTAAGGCACCTACTGATGAAGGTTGAAGAATACAGTCTGCAATATGGATTACATCTCAACATAAAGAAAACAAAATCCTCACAACTGGACCAATGAGCAGCATCACAATAAATGGAGAGAAGATTGAGGTTGTCAAGGAATTCATGTTGCTTGGTTCTACAATCGATGCCAACGGAAGCAGCAGTCAGGACATTAGATGACGTGTAGCATTGGGAAAGTCAACTGTGAAGGAACTGTTTCAAGTGCTGAGGAGCAAGGATATCTCCTTGAGGACTAAGGTGCGCCTGACACAAGCCATGATATTTCCAATGGCCTCATATGCATGTGAGAGCTAGACAATGAATAAGGAAGACCGAAGAAGAGTTGATGCTTTTGAGTTGTGGTGCTGGCAAAGAATGCTGAAAGTACCGTGGACTGCTAAAAGAACTAACAGATGTGTCCTGGAGGAAGTGCAGCCAGAATGCTCCTTGGAAGCAAGAATGTCCAGACTTCGTCTTACCTATTTTGGTCATGTTGTAAGAAGGGACCATTCCCTGGAGAAGGATGTCATGCTTGGTAGGGTGGAGGGTCGACGAAAGAGGAGGAGGCCTTCAAGGAGATGGATTGACACAGTGGCTGCGATGATGGGCTCAAGTATAGCAAGGATTGTGGGGCTGGTGAGGGATCGGGCAGTGTTTCGTTCTGCTGTGCATGGGGTTGCTATGAGTCGGAAACAACTCGACGGCACTTAACAACAACAATAACAACTAAAAATAAATAAATATCTCTAGGCATCCCTTACTAGTAGATAGCTTCATTTTTCATTTTAATGTAAAGTCTCCCTGACAAAATGACAGATTACTTTAAGATCAATTGACTTCAGCAATTTTGTGATCCTCTAATTAAAAAATATACCAACGAAAAATTCCAGCTTGTTCAACATTAATACTCACATAACTTATTTTTAATGAAGTACTGATATGCTCCACTTTATGTTTGTGTGAAGTACCATTTAGTTCTGAAGTTACCAATTTTTTCTTCTCCTCGAAACTTAAGAGGAGCTAACCACATCATTAATTAGTCCATTTTATTTCCTAATAGTTTTTATGAACAAAAGATTAAATTTGAAACACTTTATCTTCTGTTTTCTCATTTTGTCTGTTTTATAGATAACAAAACTCTTAAATCAATTAAAAAACATTAAAAAATGTGTTCCCATATAATAATACTTATTATTTTTCTAATTATATGTAATACAGGGGAAAGTTGGTTGATCTTTGGATTGCATTTAATTGATACATTTTATAAATGTTTAATTTAGCATCTAAGTTTAGTATTTCTGGAATAAGGCTGCCAAACAACTTTCTAACATCACTTCAGGTATTACAAATAAACTTAGCACATAGAGTCCTTTGTCAAGCTTTTTTAAAAACTCACTGTCTTTGTGTGTGTGTGTGTGTCCAGTGAAGACTTCACTGACTGTACTGGTGAATACAAAGGCTGTGCTCTCCTGCCCTCCTGTCCCACTGACACCTGAGTTTATAGCAACGTGGAAAATAATCTTCAGAGACAACACTTCCTGCACCAAAGCCTACAGGAGAGATAAAAATGAGACTAAGGAAACCAACTGTACTGATGAGGCAATAACCTGGGCCTCCAGACCTGACCAGAGTCCTGCCCTTCAGATTGATCCAGTGGCCATCACTCATGATGGGTCTTACACATGTGAAATGGTAACATCTAATGGGCATTTCCATCATGCCTATCACGTCCAAGTGCTAGGTAAGGAACATCCTACGTTGTGCTATTTCAGATAACCAGACTGAGACAGAATCAAAAGTCTCTCTGAATTCCTTAATGCTTACGTTGGCACTGAAGCCTTTGTTTTCCCTTACATCTCTGCAATGCCCCCCGAGGTGACCGTGTTTCTAACTGAGAATAGAACTGTGGTGTGCAAGGCAGTAGCAGGGAAGCCGGCTGCACAGATCTCCTGGAACCCAGAGGGGGACTGTGTCACTGAGCAAGAAAATCAGGGCAACGGTGCAGTGTCTGTGAGGAGTGCGTGCCACTGGGAGGATGGCATCACGTCTGCTGTGACCTGCTCTGTCTCCCACTTGACTAGAAACGAGAGTCTGAGCATACAACTACATCCAGGTAAGTAATTCTTCTTGGTTTGTGTTAGATTTTTCCATTCTTTCAGAGAAAGAGAAATTATGTTTAGAAGGAAAAAAGTGTGCACAGAAATTTAACTAGTTTTCATTCAAGTATGTTCTCCTCACTCTCCATTTTATCTTCTTCTCATGCCACAAATAGAGATAGCTCTAGAAAATATTACAGAATTTTGTCATAAAAAGCTATATTTTAGAGTGCAGTTTATTCTACATTTAATGTTCACATTTATAGTAGTAATAAATTAGTTGGGTCATACAATTTTAAGCAAATAATTATGACTTTAACAGAAGGATAAAGTGTACTTTTGAGCAAATACTTACAGTTTTAATAGAAGGATGAAGTCACCCATAAATTACCTTCACAAATTTTTGGTCTTTTAGAACTTTGTTCTCCAGGTTCTTGTTAGTGGACTTTCTTAAATGTCTTAAATCATATAAAATCATATTTAATCATTTTTATATGATTAAATATATGATGATTAGTTCATCACTGTTCACTTTCTCTACTGTCTGCTCCTATTCTACTTCTATTTGCTATTTTTCAAAAGTTAATTATTTTAATCAACAAACTACACATAGATTAAAGTCAATTTGTTCTTGCAAGCTTATGAAAAACATGAACTGTAGCCCTAAATCTCCACTTTTCCTTTTCCATCCTCACACAGTTCCTCAGAAGCAAGTACTTAAAAATCTTTTGGTGTTTCTAATAATACATGACTCTATCTTTTCTCAATAGTGTGCTCATACTGCTATTTCTTGCCATAACGATTTTAAACTTTATGTAGCCACGTACTCTTATGGCAGGCAAAGATTTAGCTTTATTGTCTTCATCTGTCCTTTATATACAATTATATAGCATTTTTTGTTAAATGAAATTTCCATTATTTCCATTATTTTGAATATGCAAATTCTCTTCTGCATCAGGCAATAAATTCATGTTTCTTTTTTAAAAAATAACTTTTTTTCCCTTTAAACTTAATTGCTTTACTTTTTTTGCTCTTAACTTTTAATAATGTATGGAACTATTGTTAATTAAAAGATCCTGGGTGTGCAGTGATTTAGAGTTTGGATGCTAATGGATGGTTGATCGTTCAAACCCACCAGTTGCTCTGTGGGAAAAAAAGACCTGGCAATTTGCTCCTGTAAATGTTTACAGCCTTGGATACCCTATAAAGTTCTACTCTGACCTATAGGGTCTCTATGAGTCAGGATCAACCAAAGACATATAACAACGATGCCGTTGTTAATTATCACTGAAACCATTGATAAAATTAGCACACTCCTCTTAATATTATTTTCCACATGATCAAATTTATTCAGTAATCTGACAGTTCCATTTTTTTTTTCCCTCAAAGACACCCCTTCTTGAGTTGTTCGACACTCTCATTCGATTCTGGTCTGGCTGGTCATGGGATCTGCTATAGAGCTATCATCCTGGACAATTCTGCCTCCATCCTCTGTTTTAGCCCATGTCTTTTTAATCTGAGTCCTTCTGTCTCCCAGACATTTCTTTGTATCTCTTCTTTCTCCCATGTGAGGCTTTCATTTACTCTGTGGTTATCTTTGCCTATGCATTCACTCAGAGTGAAAACTAAAGAGCTTATTGGAAGGTACACCATTTGTTGGTTGGACTTGCCAACTTGCTAGCTTCGATAGGGTGAAAAGATGGAAAATTAAATAAAAATAAAATTTTGAATTCCTAGGCGCTCTGGTGGTATAGTGCCTAAGGCATTTGACTGCTAACCAGAGGGCTGGCAGTTCAAACCCACCAGGCACTCCTCGGAAGGAAGGTTGGACAATCTACTTCCATAGTGATACCGCCTCAGAAACCCAAGGAGGGTTTGCTGTGAGTCGGATCCAACTCGACGGCAGTGGGTTTTTTTTTTTTTTTTTTTGTGCATCTGACAGTCTTTTCTCTGAGGCTGTTTATGTTCTACAAAATAAGCAACTTCCCAGTCTCTTGTGTTGGAGGAATAAGCTTGATAAGCCTATTTTCTGGGAGCAAAGAGGGAGAGGTCTCACTGCTCAGAACTCAGACTTTCCTTTAATACTTGTCCTCAGTCTGGCATCTTATATCCCCTCTCCATTATTTCTGGAACCTTGATTCTGGACTCTCTCCAGTTCATCCTTTCTAGGCTAAACTTCCCGTTTTGGGTTGGTTGGGGAAGATATAGTTGCCTGGCTGCACCTAATGGGGCAGGGCACTAGGCAGCCTATCTGCTCTCTCTACAGACTTTCAAACAAGCTCCAACTTTTAGTCCCACATTTCATAGCCCACAGTTCCCTTTCTCTATCTTAGGTGCTTTCTATTCTAAGGTTCCCTGGAGTTCTGTCATCACTAATGTTTATTATTCCACTCTGGAACAATGAGTCATTCTTCTGTTCTACTTTTTCTTAAAAACAGGCTAAAATCTCTCATCTACTCTTATCTCCATTCCTGTTCTTTGTCTTTCCAAATCTATATGTTTAAATTTTCTTTACTGATGTTTTTAAGAAAGGAGAACAGAAAAACCTATGTACTTAAGCCAGCATTTTTCAATGTCCATTCTTAAGTCGATAATTGTGATCATTATTATTTAAAGAATTTAGCAATATTTATTGAGAAAAGTAACTGTGCAGATTCTGTATGAAATCAGACCATTCACTATGATATTATGAGTTCATGTTTATAGAATCTTAGAATCGGAAGAGACTCCCTCTCACCTAGTGCAGGGATCTCTTGTGTGTCATCCTTATGAGGCAGTTCTTCAGCAAGCACACGTCTAACAAGAGAGACCTCATTTGTTTATAGCGTACATTTCCAAACAATGTTGTTTTAGCTGTCAAACCAACCCTTTCTTTTTTGAATAAAATACTGAAAAATCCAGTATTTAAAACACAAAAAACAAACTGCTGAAGGAGGGTGGAGAGATGGGGTGTTAGCCCTCAGCACCCCTATTTCACCTCCTTTGCTGCCCCCAAACCACATTCATTGAACTCAGACAACAGTTTTAAAACCACTGCCTCTCAGAGCTGGTGAGTCCTTCATTGACTAATCCTCTTGTCAGAATGTACTTTCTATTCTGTTACCAGCAGTTCTTAACAGTTGAGCCAGCCATACACTGCTGCCAGCAGTTACTACACATTTCAAAGGTGCTGCCATGCATTTATTTTCACATCAATCCCTGGCAGAAAGGTGACCTCAGAATTAGGATGATTTTTTCAAATATTTTTCTTAGAATGCTCCATTTATTTCCAAATATTAGAAGTGAGAAACACTCTGCTATTAAAATAACAGACAGATCTAATTTTACCTCTCTCCTTCAGGGACTTGCCATTCACAAATTCTTATTTTTAAAAGCAATAAAATCCTGAAATAACATGGTATCTTTCTGGGAACTCTGAAGTTTGAATTAATGAAACAATTTCCATATAATAATTCTTAGAAATATTAATGGGTTAAAGGGAACTCTGATGGTGATTAAGGCATTTGGCTGTTAATCAGACCATCAGTGTTTCAAACCCACCAGCTGCTCTGTGGGAGTAAGATGAGGCAATCTACTTCTGTAAAGATTCACAGCCTTGGAAATCCTATGAGTTGGAATTGACTTGATGGCCATGTTTATTAATAGGATAGAGTACTTACAATAAGATCACAGAAATGAATTTCACGTAGAAGGAGACATCCCTGAGCAGTGTAATTTTGTTTGTATATTTACAGGTGGCCGAACATCAGAAATCCAAACTGTTCTACATATCATCCATTGGATTTTTTTTATTTTATTCATCATTTTATCTATTTATGCCTTGAAAACTACTGCAGGTATTGATTGATGATTTTCTTCCCCTTTCTTTAGCTTTACTGATGCAAGAAAAAAATAAAAAATATGGAATTTACTGACTGGGTAATATTAAAATGTTAACATCAGTAATCAACAAATTTATCTTAAAGCTTTTAGAGTTGATTTAGTTTGGATTAAAAGGGGTTTTATAGGTTACTGAGACACACAACATGATGAATTAGCTGTATGAGGAGGATCTTGGAAGATATGTTTCTGCAAAATTTTGTTTGAGAAAAGAAAGACAGCAAATCTTTCATGTGCCTAAGAGGAATTGTTGCATATACTGTATCACATCAAGCTCTGTTGCATAGCTTAAATTCTTTTCCTAAAATATTGAATTCCTTTACTTAGTTATATAATTACAAGCAGCAATTTTCACTCATTTTTGATCATTTATTTCTGGACTTCTTATGGCTTCTACCAAAATGAACCTCAGCTATAAATAGTACATTATTTTTTTCTATTTTCAATCTAAATAATGTCCTTTTATGCATTCTCTCCAGTTTATTTTGGTTTTTCCAGAAAATATAAACTGACTAAAAGAGAAACTATTCAAGTTTTGAGGAGTTAAGACAAAAAAGAAGAATATTTGCAAACTATTATCTAGTCATATAATTTGCTATTTGCATAACCACTAGTGACTTAGTTGAAGAGTTAAAGATTTTGGTTTAATAACACTAATAGGCAGGTATATTCTTCTTGTTAATTAACTACCACATTCTGTTGCATCACTGCAAAATCCACAGTTTCACTTTACGAATTGCATCCAACATAATGCATCATGTTTCCTAGTTTGAACTGTAATCTTTGGAGAACTTAACTGGTGTCTTCTCCTCCATGAAATGATCTCTAACTCCTGACTTTCCTTTTTCAATGGTGGTACCATCACCATTTCATTGTTACTCAAGCTTTAAACCTATTCCACTCCCTACTTTCTTATAACCATTTGCTGAGTCTTATAAACTGTCCGCCTTTGAAATACTTCTCATATCACTTCATCCTCCATTCTTATTCACACAATTTTTGCCATCTCACACTGGGACATTATCAATACATTTGCATACATACACACACACGTATTATAAAATATTAGAACAAAGTCTTTTATGTTTGAGTAAGCACAGAGACACAAGTAAGCTGTGGCTGTCTGTTTGAGAAATAT